GCATCATGTTCTTAACATCCCTAAAAATCCCAGAGGGAAAGACGTTGTCAGGGAAAATGCTTAAAATGAGCTCACTTTGTTACTTTGAGGCTATGGCTTTAAACTCCCTCCTCCCCAGTACAAAATATTTGATGACAGATGATGTCAAGGAGGATGTTTTTGGCCTGATGAAGATAGTCTAAAAATATACAGGCTGGATGGCCTGCTCCTTTTAGGAATCTCTCAAAATATGAATGCTGAAGAGAACATGAAAAATGGAGAGAATTTCCTTGAGCCCAGACAGGAGCTGCGTCTTGTGGAGGTAGAGAAGCCAGCTGCATAATATTTAATAGATCATAATAATTATAATTAAAACAGGATACATTAATTGACTTTAATAAACAGTTTTTTTAATTTTTGTATTTTTTACAAACACACAATTGACATTTTCACTATTTCAGATATATTAGAGAATCTGGTTAGAACTTCTGTAGGGAAGCAACATGTAGCTATCTATAACTAAATGCCATTTCAAAAAGAAGCAGAGACTGTTAAAAGTTTATCCCTAAATGTATATTTACATTAAAGTTTGAAAAGCCCTTACACAGATTGTGCTCTCTGACCATGATGTACTCATATTAGAAATAAAAAATGAAAATACAACATAGTTATTTCACAGCTAGGAGTTTTATAGAGTTCATGACATACTTCTTGTTACCCATCTTTTTGATAAATGTGACTCTAATATGAAAATCAGTTTCTATAATTGGAGCTCAGATTTGTTTTTTCTCCTATCAGTTTTCTAATGACACAATTGCAAATTAGAGAGAATGATCTTAAGTAAATGTACAGTTTGGTAAATAGGTAGAGGTCAGAATAATCAGTATATATATATATATATATATATTTTGGCAGTACGCGGGCCTCTCACTGTTGTAGTCTCTTCCGTTGGCGGAGCACAGGCTCCAGACGCACAGGCTCAGCGGCCATGGCTCACGGGCCTAGCCACTCCGCGGCATGGGGGATCTTCCTGGACCGGGACGAGAACTCGTGTCCCATGCGCCACCAGGGAAGCCCTCAGTATTTTAATAAGCCTAATAGAAGCCATAGATGCTCTTGAGGCAAATAAATTATCTGGATATAAACAATCCCAAAGGCATTTCTTAAAGGTCAATTTAGGCAGTGATTTATTCATTATGAGCTGATTTAGGCTGATGAGTTGCAGGTTAGTTTTTTAATTCATTTACATTATTTCATGGAGAATTATAGAAGCATTTATGTCTTATGTTGGAGAATTCCTCACCATATTGGCTATATTAGCTATATTAGTTACACACAATTAAAATACTTTCAGAAATTTCTGATTCCACACTGAGCTAGAATATATTACATTCAAATATTATCTTTGAACTAAAGTCCAGAAATAGCATAAATAGCAATTATTTAGAAAGAAGTATACTTTGTACATTTCCATTTCTCTGTTATGCCTTGTGGCAAGATGGAAAAAAATGCCATGATTCAGACTTTTCATTTTGGTACAGTCATATGCATAAAAAGAAGGAAATTAGAGAAGTACAATAATTTTCAAAATAAGTGATATACTGTTAAGTACAAGGGATCTTTTTTCCCCTGAGTATTTATTTAGTGATATTTTTCCAAACCTTGCTGCTCTAGAATTGTGTTGAAATAAAAAAATGTCACTTTTAATATTAACCCTAACTCAAATATGGCTCTTAAATAAATACTACTTTGAGATATCAGGAATCTGTCCCCTGATAACTTGCAGAAAATACAATGTAAATAACAAGGGAAATCAACTTAAGAGTAAAATTTAAAATCTTGCTAAAGATACAGGATCCTGTGAAACTAACCAAAGTTCTGCTAGAGAATTGCTTCAATCACACTCTGTGCCCATGGAGATTGGACAGAGTTAGACTGGTTAAAATGGAAGAAGAGAAAGTCAATAAGAAAATAAAAGACAGAGGCCATTTAAAAGTTAATAATTTATATATTAAAGATTAAGAGAGACAATTGGAAATCTGAAGAAGGCTTAAAATAATTTCATTAAAATATCATTAGTCAAAGGAGAAATAAATGATGGAATAAGATAATATGGTGTATGTTGAGGTTGGGGGCATGATGGAAACCACAAAACTCATAATTTTAATTGTGCTTTTGTGAAACCTCAGATAAACTTTAGAAATGTATATATTTTACTGTTTAAAAATCATTTTTTTTCACTATTTAATGTGAAATCCTGGTCTCCTTTAATCTTGGTTTTGTTTTATACTGTATAACCTCCTGAGCCTCCATTTCATATATATACATACATACACACACACAAAAATACACATATATACCAAATGGCTTACGTGTAAACAGTTATTGAAATAAAACACATTTGAAATGTAAAAACTTAGGATGCTAAACAGCTCTAGCATGTTGCCTCCTCAAACATAATTACTGTTCGTTCCCCAAAAGAAGTAGTGTAAAACATTTCCCTGTGAAAAGAGCCTTAATTTCTCTAGCAGCATACATACTGTGTGTCCACATACTTAGACAAATGTCCACAAAGAATAAAACATCTTTTAAATGTAATATTGGGATGGAGGGTAGGAGGGGAAATCTGCTTATTGGAAGAAACTGTTCTTCCAGAGACGTGTAGTCATGATAGCCAGAAATCTGGAAATTATGCTTTATAATGAATGAGTTAAGAAACTTGGAAATTTCCCATATAAGGGGGAAAAATTTTTGACAAAATAAAAGTTATGGTCAAGTGTTTAGGAGATGGGTTAGAATGTTCATGGATTTCTGCAATCAATAGAATGCCATCCAATGAGTGGAAGAAGAAGAGAATAGTTAATAGCATTATAATAACACTATGGCAAAAGACTTGATGCTTTGCAAGTATTAAAAAAATAATGATGGTTCAACTTAATTTACTTGTTGTCAATAGAGCTTTTGAAATACCAGGTAGGTTGCCTCCTGAAGTTGTGTGCTCTTTAACATTGGATGGGGCCTGCAGAATACAACTCACTACCTCTTGAATACTTTGCTTAAGCCATTCTAGCACTAGAAATTTTGGATCTTTAAGTGAAACAAAACTTTAAAGAGATTTAGTCAGAATCTTCTTTCATAACTGGGTTCATTTGTGGGTCAGGATTTAGACTGACTCTTGCCATGGGAACACTATGTTTACTATGGAATCTACTAAAATTGTGCCTGCCAAGTGAATTATTTTTAATTTAAACTCAGGCCAGAGAGAAGGCTCCAATTACTGGTAGCCTAAAAATATTGTCAGTCTTGGATTGTGTTCTGGGGATTGACAGATGGATGCAAATGACCTTCCAAAGTACCTAGCACATAGGTAGGACATTTAGCTAGCCTTAATTATATAATGTTTGCTAACTGGAATATCACAGTATACTGTAAATATGCAAGCTTTCTTAATAATGCGTATTTGCTTTGAGAAAATAGTTCTAATCACAATAGAGTTATATAGGCATAGTGATAAAATTTATAATAGATTTAGATAAGTTTCTATGCCCAAGTTGGTTCTGATTATTTGCTTATTATCTCTTAAAAATAATTCCCCAAATAACAGTCTACTTTTTTATGTTAAATGAGTTATTCCTAAAAGTAGAATATGGAAGAAAAAATTTCTCTTAACATAAGATCTCAGTGTAGTTGAAGTGCATTAAATTCCTTCCTCCATTTATTTTGAAAACTTATTTAACATACACAGTAGGTTGGGCTCCACATGTAGCAAATACAGCAGGTGCTTTTGTTGGTTATCATCCCATAACAGCTGTGCTGGACACTCCCTAGCCATACCACTAGATCTCACCTCAGCTGTTTCTGCTTTTATGTCTTGGACTTTTTCGGAAGCTGAGGGATCTTATTGGGGACACATGGAGGATAACCACCCACAAATCAGCCCAGACATGTGGGTAGGCTAATGCACTGAGGGCAACCTTGACCAAAGTAGACAAGAGGCAATGTACAGCTGCTCCATCTCTCAAAGATTCCAGGGAAAACTCTGATGTGCCTTCTTCCTAGATCTTCAGAAGTTCCTCATAGTTACCTGTTGCTGTGTAATAAACTATTCCCCAAATCCAATGGCTTGAAACAGCAGCACTTTTTTATTAATTACTTATTATTCTGTGGCTCAGGAGTTTAGGAGTGGCTCATCTGGGTGGTTCTGTCTCAGGACCTCTCATTAGGTTACAACCAAGATGTCAGTTGGGTTACAATCGTATGAAGACTTTACTGGGTCTAAAATATCCCTCATGCAGCTGTTGCCCAGAGGCTTCAGTTCTTCTCCATGTAACCATCTCCACAGTGTTGTCTGAGTATCCTTACTACAGAGCAGCTGGCTAGACCAAGAAAAGTAAAGAGAGAAGGAAGAGAAGGCATATTTTGACCATCATTTAGCAGTGAATCACTAAGTACAACATACACTCAGTGAGAGAAGAAAATAGAGAAAGGTGAGACTGAGCCCCAGCACACACAGTGCTTACCCTTATTTTAAAAGTTTACTGACTATCCTATAATCAACCTTAGTCAATATTTTCTATAGTACAGGCGTAGGTATTTTATAGTACATACATACATTCATTCATGCACACATATGTATATACCAAGCTACCTATGTTTAAAATAGAATGGAAAGAGTAAAGTCTATAGCGATTTAGCTCTATGAATACCTGAGTCTTTTTATTTTCCCTTTTTCTTTGTGGCTATGGTTGCTTTTAGATAAATTGGCCTTAATTTCACTGAAAATACTAATAGATATCCATTAAATTATCTCGCATAAATCAATTACTAATAAATAGTAGTGGATAATAAATGACTACTTCATGTCCTTAATTTTATAATAAATGACTACTTCATGTCCTTAATAATAAATAAATGACTACCTCATGTCCTTAATTTTATTCTTAATTTGGCAAATATTAACTGTACAATATGGACTCATGTGTATTATATAGAGATATGTATTTTTCACTTTTCTTTCTTAGATGTCTCCCTGGATTTTCTGGAAATTTTTGTGAAATTAACATAAATGAAAGTTCTTCATCACCATGTCTAAATGGTGTGAACTGTGAGGATCACACCAATGGATATATTTGCAAATGTCAACAAGGTAATTATGAAAAAGTAATGATCGTGCAAATGTCACATTTATTTACAAAATATATGTATTTATATATGTGTATGGTATATGTGTGTGTTTGTACAATATAATTTTGACAATCAACTCACTAATAATGTTGTTGACTATCAACCAGCTTCTTAGTGATGATCACACTTAAAAAATATGAAATTGTTTTTCAATGATACTAGTAATCAATCCTTTAGGCTATCAGCAAGAAATCCTGGTGCTTAGATCATGGTATCTCACTGCAGGTATTTTCAAAATTTATGTAAGCTTCAAATTCCTGATCTTTATCTATATCCATTGTGTCTGGTGCACAACAAGTCCTTTGTGAAAACTGGCTCCTTAATATTTACATTATTATTACTGCCAATGATCATCAGTATAGAGATGGACTTGTTGGGTGAAATGATTTTATTCAAGGGGAAATTTTTTATTACCAACAGGTCTTTTGGGCCATTTCTGCCTTTGCTCATATTATCTTTAACTGTATACTAATATAAACAAGTTGTGTCCAGGAATCTTCTTCCCTCTCCTTCCTCTAGTTTTCTAAACTTTCAGATTTGTTGCTTTCTACCTGTGACTTCTATCACTCATCTTACCTTCAAAATTTAGTTTCATCCACCCCAAAATTATGTTGAATATGTGAATTTCCTTGAGCAATAATAATCTCACAAGAATATATGTGGGGGATATTTTTGGTCACTAAAAAAGAATTCTCATTATTCACAAGCCCCAGAGAAGACTTAAGATAACTTGTGGATACCCCAGAGTCTGGGCTCCTGGTTATTTGAACCCCCAGAGGAAATAACAGCCAATAATTCTTACAGATAAAAGAAGTGGAATAAAACTTACAATGCTCTGATAGAAGAAATAAATACCATTTGAAAGCTTTTGATTTTCCCCCCCAAAATATCTTTTTCATACAGCAGAAGCAAGAAGAACTACAATCCTGCAGACTGTGGAATGAAAATCACATTCACAGAAAGTTAGAAAAGATGAAAAGGCAGAGGGCTATGTACCAGATGAAGGAACAAGATAAAACCCCAGAAAACCAACTAAATGAAGTGGAGATAGGCAACCTTCTAGAAAAGTAATTCAAAAAATGATAGTGAAGATGATCCAGCACCTCAGAAAAAAATGGAGAGAAAGATCAAGAAGATGTAAGAAATGTTTAACAAAGACCTAGAAGAATTAAACAAAAAACACCTAGAAGAATTAAAGAACAAACAAACAGAGATGAACAATACAATAACTGAAGTGAAAAATAAACTAGAGGGGATCAATAGCAGAATAACTGAGGCAGGAGAAAGGAAAAGTGACCTGGAAGACAAAATGGTGGAATTCAATGTTGCAGCACAGATTAAAGAAAAAAGAATGAAAAGAAATGAAGACAGCATAAGAGACCTCTGGGACAACATTAAATGCAACAACATTCACATAATAAGGGCCCCAGAAGGAGAAGAGAGAGAGAAAGGACCTGAGAAAATATATGAAGTGATTATAGTAGAAAACTTCCCTAATAAGGAAAGGAAATAGCCAGCCATGTCCAAGGAGTGCAGAGAGTCCCATAAAGGATAAACCCAAGGATAAACATGCTGAGACACAGAGTAATCAAATTGACAAAAATTAAAGACAAATTATGAAAAGCAACAAGGGAAAAGAGACAAATAAAATACAAGGGAACTCCCATAAGGTTAACAGCTGATTTCTCAGCAGAAACTCTAGAAGCCAGAAGTGAATGGCACCATATATTTAAAGAGATGTAAGGGAAGAAACTACAACCACAATTACTCTACACAACAAGGATTTCATTCAGATTCTATGGGGAAATAAAAAGCTTTACAGACAAGCAAAAGCTAAGATAATTCAGCATCACCAAACCAGCTCTACAAGAATGGCTAAAGGAACTTCTAGAAGTAGGAAACATAAGAAAAGGAAAGAACATACAAAAAAAAAAAAAAAAAACACAAAACAATTAAGAAAATGGTAATAGGAATAAACATATTGATAATTGCCTTGAATGTGAATGGATTAAATTCTCCAACCAAAACACACAGGCTCGTTCAATGGATATAAAAACAAGACCTATATATATGCTGTCGACAAGAGACACACTTCAGACCAAGGGACACATACAGACTGAAAGTGAGGGGATAGAAAAAGATAGTCCATGCAAATGGAAATCAAAAGAAACCTGGACTTGCAATACTCATATCAGATAAAATAGATTTAAAATAAAGAGTGTTACAAGAAACAAGGGAGAACACTACATAATGATCAAGGGATCAATCCAAGAAGAAGATATAACAATTATAAATATCTATGACCCAACATAGGAGTACCTTAACACATAAGGCAAATGCTAACAGATATAAGAGGAAATCAACTAACACAATAATAATAGGGGACTTTAACACCTCACTAACACCAATGGACAGATCATCCAGACAGAAAATTAATAAGGAAACACAAGCTGTAAATGACACAATAGACCAGATAGATGTAATTGATATTTAGAGGACATTCCATCTGAAAACAGCAGATTACACTTTCTTCTCAAGGGCACATGGAACATGATCCAGGATAGATCACATCTTGGGTCATAAATCAAGCCTCGGTAAATTTATGAAAATTGAAATCCTATCAAGCATCTTTTCCAACCACAACGCTATGAGATTAGAAATAAATTACAAGGAAAAAACGTAAAAAGCACAAATATATGGAGGCTAAACAATACTTCACTAAATAACCGAGGGATCTCTGACAAAATCAAAGAGGAAATTAAAATACACCTAGAGACAAATGACAATGAAAACATGACAATCCAAAACCTATGGGATGCAGCAAAAGATGTTGTAAGAGGGAAGTTTATATCAATTCAATACCACCTGAAGAAACAAGAAAAAACTCAATTTAATCTTACATCTAAAGGAACTAGAGAAAGAAGAACAAACAAACTCCAAAGTTAGTAGAAGAAAAGAAATCATAAAGATCAGAGCAGAAATAAATGAAATAGAAACAAAGAAAACAATAGCAAAGATCAATAAAACTAAAAGCTGGTTCTTTGAGAAGATAAACAAAATTGACAAACCTTTAGCCAGAATCATCAAGAAAAAGAGGGAGAGTACTCAAATCAATAAAATTAGAAATGAAAAAGGTGAAGTTACATTGGACACCACAGAAATACAAAGCATCATAAGAGACTACTACAGCAACTCTATGCCAATAAAATGGACAGCCTGGAAGAAATGGACAGTTCTTAGAAAGGTATAAACTTCCAAGATTAAACCAGGAAGAAATAAAAAATATGAACAGACCAATCACAAGCACTGAAATTGAAACTGTGATTAAAAATCTTCCAACAAACAAAAGTCCATGATCAGATGGCTTCACAGGTGAATTCTATCAAACATGTAGAGAAGAGCTAACACCCATCCTTCTCAAATGCTTCCAAAAACTTGCAGAGAAAGGAACACTCCCAAACTCATTCTACAAGACCACCATCATCCTGATACCAAAGATAGTACAAAAAAAGAAAATTACAGACCAATATCACTGATGAATATAATGCAAAAATCCTCAACAAAATACTAGCAAACAGAATCCAACAGCACATTAAAGGGATCATACACGATGATCAAGTGGGATTTATACCAGGGATGCAAGGATTCTTCAAGAAATGCAAACCACTTAACATGATATACCATATTAACAAATTGAAGACTAAAAACACTGTGATCCTCTCAGTAGATGCACAAAAAGCTTTTGACAAAATTCAACACCTATTTATGATAAAAACTCTCCAGAAAGTGGGCATAGAGGAAACCTACCTCAACATAATAAAGGCCATATATGACAAACCCACAGCAAACATCATTCTCAAAAGTGAAAATCTGAAAGCATTTGCTGTAAGATCAGGAACATAACAGGATGTCCATTCTCACCACTATTATTCAAGATAGTTTTGGAAGTTTTAGCCACAGCAATCAGAGAAGAAAAGGACATAAAAGGAATCCAAATCGGTGGAAAAGAAGTAAACCTGTCACTATCATGGATGACATGATACTATACATGTATAATCCTAAAGATGCCATCAGAAGACTACTAGAGCTAATCAATGAATTGGTAAAGTTGCAGGATACAAAATTAATGCACAGAAATCTTTTGCATTCCTATACACTAACAACAAAAGATCAGAAAAATAAATTAAGGAAACAATCCCATTCACCATTGCAACAGAAAGAATAAAATACCTAGGAATAAACCTACCTAAGGAGACAAAAGACCTGAATGCAGAAAACTACAAGACACTGATGAAAGAAATCAAAGGTGAAACTAACAGATGGAGATATATACCATGTTCTTGGATTGGAAAAATCAATATTGTAAAAATGACTATACTACCCAAAGCAATCTACAGATTCAATGCAATCTCTATCAAATTACCCATGGCATTTTTTACAGAACTAGAACAAAAAATCTTAAAATTTGTATGCAGACACAAAAGACACCAAATACCCAAAGCAATCCTGAGGAAAAAAAAAAAAAAAAACAGAGCTGGAGGAATCAGGCTCCCTGACTTCAGACTATACTACAAAGCTACAGTAATCAAGACAATATGGTACTGGCACAAAAACAGAAATATAGATCAATGGAACAGGATAGAAAGTCCAGAGATAAGCCCATGCACCTATGGCCAACTAATCTGTGACAAAGGAGGCAAGGATATACAATGGAGAAAAGACAGCCTCTTCAATAAGTGGTGCTGGGAAAACTGGAAAGCTACATGGAAAATAATGAAATTAGAACACTCCCTAACACCACTCACAAACATAAACTCAAAATATATTAAAGACCTAAATGTAAGACAGGACACTATAAAACTCTTAGAGGAAAACATAGGCAGAACACTCTATGACATAAATCACAGCAAGATCTTCTTTGACCCACCTCCTAGAGTAATGAAAATAAAAACAAAAATAAAC